AGAACAACATCAGATTGTCTGTGTGTTGTTACCTCCCTCTTTTCCCGAAGTCGAGAGGTTGTATTTGTGTATCTTCCCTGAGGTTTTTTTTTTTTTTTCTTCTTTTTGCTAGCTACTTGATTTCCCTCTATCTAGCCCCTCCACTGCCCTTTTTCTTATGGGTCTTCTGCATACTTCTGTCTCTTCCCGCTCCCATATATTATGTCTTCCTCCCTTGTCTACCTGTGTATGTGTTTGTGTGTACAAGAGAGAGATTGGTTTTGTGTATCAGTGCTGGAATGAAACAGGTCAGTCATTCAATTTCCTCTTTTTATAGTTTGGAAAGTAAGGCCCAAGAACTCAGATGACTTGTTCAAGTTCACGCAACTAAAAAGTGGCAAAGAATAGAACCCACTATACGACTCTGCCTTGTTATCTGCACTGATGTGTGTGTGTGTCTAGTCTGTCTTCCTCCCCATCTTTAATATGAAATGTAACTGTGTTTGTTTTTTGCTGGGACTTGAAGAGTACTAGTCTCTATTTTTCAGATTATCCTTTTAAAAGAAAAGTTGTTTGTTAGTCATGAATTTTGTTGTGCCCTTTATGATCAATAACCTATAATAGAAATGTTTTTTTAATGCATTTATTCAGTCATTCAAGAAATATTTATTGAACAGGTCACGATGTGCTAGGCAAAGATCTAGGTCATAGGGATATAGCAGTATGAGCAAAATGAAGTCTGCCCTCATGGAGCATCTATTCTAGTTGTGGAAACAGATAACAAACAAATAATTACATAATGGCAAATCTATCATTCCTTATATAATTATGTTGATAACTGTTTAGAGAAAGATGTTGAAAATAGTTGAAAGAGCATTTCTGGATAATTGTCTGTTCTTTGATCTCTAGTAGTGTGTGCTGTCAAGTCATTTCCAACTCAGGCACCCTGTATAGGGTTTTCGAGGCTATAAATCTTTGCAGGAACAGAAAGCCTCATCTCTGTCTTGCGATAATTTTCATTAATAAAGTCTATAAAGCCAATTAGATTTTGGGGGAAGAAAATATATCTTCAAACCTTAAAAAAAATGTGCTTTGAATTGCTAATGTATTCACTTATATGTCAATACATAATGTTGTTGCTGTTGTTAGGTTCTATCTCATAAGGTACCGCCAACTCATAGTGACCTTATGCACAGCAGTACGAAACACTGCCTGATCCTGGGCCAATCTTACTACTGTTGCCACAGTTGAGTCCATCAGTGCTGTCTTGATGTGGGTCTTCCTCTTTTTCTCTGACCCTTCACCTTACCAAACATGATATCCTTCTCCAGTGACTGGTCCATCCTGACAATATGTCCAAAGTATGAGAGATGAAGTTTGGCCATCTTGGCCTCCAAGGAGCTCTCTGGCTGCACTTCTTCCAACATGGATCTGTTGGTTCTTTTGGCAGCCCATGGCTCTTTCAATATTCTCCTCCAACACCATAACTCAAAAGCATCAATTCTACTATGGTCTTCCTTATTCACTGCCCAGCTTTCGCATGCATATGAAGTTATTGAAGATACCATGGCTTGGGTCAGGCGCACCTTAGTTCTCAAGCTGACATCTTTGCTCTTCAACACTTTAAAAAGGTCTTGTGAAGCAGATTTGCCTAATGCAATACGTCGTTTGATTTCTTGACTGCTGCTTCCATGAGTGTTGATAGTTGATCCAAGAAGAATGAAGTTCTTGACAACTTCAATAATTAATAATAAACTTCAATACATGATAGATTCATATATATATATAATGTTGTTGCTGTTAAGTGCAGGAGATTGGTTCCAAATCATAGCAACCCTTTACAGAGTTTCCATGGAGCAGCTGGTGACTTTGAGCCACCAACCTTTTGGTTCAAATTGACTTTGCAGTCCAATGCTTATACTACAGTGCCACAAGGGGACTCCATATACAACATATAGACATTAATTATCTTGCTCTTTCTATATACCTATTTTCTTGTTTCCCTGGCTAGCTCCTGTTGTTAAAGTGCTATCGAGTCAGTTCCTCCCCATAGCGACCCTGTGTAGGGTTTCTGAGGAGCGGCTGGTAAGCTTGAACCGCCAACCTTGCGGTTCATACCAACCTTGCAGCTTGACGCATTATCCTGCAGATCCATAGCTAGCTCCTAGAGATCATTTAATTATATTTTTATGTATCTTTCAAATAAATATGAATATACATTCCCACCCTTCACTGTTTTGTACCTTGATTTTTTATGTAACAATATATCCTTAATTCTTAATTTTAAATTAGATTTTAAAATTAACTCCAATCCTCTCTTGGAATCTTTTGAGTCAAAGGCTTACTGCTAGGATGGTTATATAATTTGTTATCTAGACAGGCATATAGTTGAAAGTTAAAGAGGGTATTGTTAATAATCTGGGGCAAAAGCATACACTGGGACTATCTTTTAGGTGAACCAGTATGCATAGTCACTCTTAGTACTATTACTGGTCTTCCTAGATGAGGTATTCCTGGAAACTTTAAATGGCCATTATTGTGTGATTGTTGGTGGTTGTGTACCATTGAGTTGGTTTCAACTCACAGCTACCCTATATAGGGTTTCTGAGGCTGTAAATCTTTGTGGAAGCAGAAATCCTCATCTTTCTCCCTCAGAGCATCTGGTGGACTCAAACTGCTGACCTCGCAGTTGGTACTCCAATGCTTAGACCACGACACCACCAGGGCTCTTTATTGAGTAGTTTTTGTTAAGTGCCATTGAGTTTTTTCCAACTCATAGTGACCCTGTATAGGGTTTCCAAGGAGCTGCTGATGACTTTGAACCACTGACCTTGTAGTTAACAGTCCAATGCTTATCCAACAGTGCCATACTAGGACTCTTATTGAGTGGTTAGATCCCATTAAACCAAATCACACCCACTGCTATTAAGTTGATTCTGATTCATAGCAACCCTGTATAAATTTTTCAAAGCTGTAAATCTTTATAGGAGCAGATAGTCTACTCTTTCTCATACAGAGCTGCTGGTGGGTTTGAACCACTGACCTTGCCCAATGCCTAACCCGTAGCACCTCAAATTAGTATTGACTAAAGCACTGGTAGCGTAGTGGTTACGAATTGGTCTGCAAACCTTAAGGTCAGCAGTTTGAAACTACCAGCTGCTCCGCAGGAGAAAGATGAGGCTCACAGCTCCCGTAAAGATTTACAGCCTCGGAAACCCTGTTCAGGGTCGCTATGGGTCAGAACCGACTTAACGGCACTTAACAACAACAACAAAACTTTATAGAGTCCTGATGAGGCATTGTAGGATAAGTACGGAACTGCTCACCGTGTAGTTGGCAAACATCCCCACCAGCTGCCCTTGGAAACCCTATACAGGCTTGCTAAGAGTCAGAAACAACTGAACAACATCAACGCTTCCAAAAGCTTACATTCATAGGTGTTTCTGATCGGTAACCGATCATTAAACTTCATACCAGTCTTTGGATTCAGTATTGATAAAGTACAGAAAGTGGTAGCATCTTAACTACCTATAAAAGGCTATACTAGTGCTTCAGTTATCCATTTTCTTTGGGAGATTAATGCACATAACGGAGCATTTCATCTAATAGACATATTCTACCAAGCTTTTAAACTAGCTTAATGAAAAAAATAGCTTATAAAGTACTTTGTTTCATTCCCATCATAAACAGGATCCAGAAAAGGTTTTGTCACTAAACAGTTCATCATAGTATTTGCTGTAATCTATTACATAGTATTTGTTGTTATCTGTTTTTGGTTTCTCGTCTCTGTCACCTAGATTTTTAATTGCTTGTCATGGTGTCTGCTCCTAATAGTTGTTTATCCTGCATTTCTTTTATGCTTCGCCATTTCTAATTTTCTGTGTAAGTAGGTACCAAGTTTGTTAACAGGATGTATTTAGTAAGAGTACATAAGCTCTGGGTGAATGTGTGAGTGTGAAGATAGCTCTAGTCTAGGGACCTCTTACCCATTATTTTAGGTGCTTAGAAGCCTTTCCCTTGCATTATGATAGTCTTCCAAAGGGATGAACTCTGAAAACCTTAAATTAACTTGAGTCAGTTATGTGACTTGATTTGTATTTAGTGGAACGCATCTGCAACATATTCTCTATGAAAATCTATAAAAAGCAAACGTTGGGCTAATAGTAACCTCTTTCTTACAGGCCTTCTTCCCATTTCTTTTCTGTCTCTCTGACATTCTGATCATCTGCGTCTTACATGTGGGATAGGGTACTTTGGGATGAACTGTTTGTATCTGATTAAACTAGAGTTAGGCAGTGAATATAGCTTCCCTGGTGGACCAGCATACATTATTTCTTAGAATCTGTTGTTGTTAAGTGCCATCAAGGTAGTTCCAGCCCATAGTGATCCTGTATAGGGTTTCCAAGGAGCATCTGTGAGTTTGAACCATCAACCTTGCAGTTCAAACTGACATTGGGGTCCAGCACATTATCCTGCAGTGCCACACCAGGACTCCCTCTTAGTGGCTTTCATTTTTTACCTCACTGAGCACAAGTTTCCAGGGTGCTCCCAGTTTTCCCTGTGCTTGTGTGGCTGAATTTTGTGTGATCTAATGATAGTCATTTTGTGCTGTGTGGTATTCATGATGCTGAAGCTGTTGTAAGCAGGTATGTCTAATTTGTTAGACCCTGCCTTCTGCCATTGTTACTGGTAAAAAAAAATTATCTTCCCAGCTCTTTTTCTTTTCATATCCATATGCAGATCTTACTTTGCAGATTACTGATACTGGATTCTGATTACCTATATGTGAGAAGTTCACAGAAAATCTCTTTTTGTTTCTCTTTGTATACATAGGTCCCAGTCATGCAGGGAGCAGGCATGCAAGGGGCAGGCATGCAAGGGGCAGGTATGCCAGGAGCGGGCATGGCAGGAGCAGGCATACCAGGAGCAGGCATGCCAGGAGCAGGCATGCCAGGAGGTGGCATGCCAGGAGGTGGCATGCAAGGAGCAGGCATGCAAGGAGCAAGCATGCAAGGAGCAAGTATGCAAGGAGCAAGCATGCAAGGAGCAAGCATGCAGAGTGGAAGTCAGCCTGGTGGCTTTAGTCCTGGGCAGAACCAAGTCACTCCACAGGATCATGAGAAGGTAAGCAACACAAGTTTACGTTTTGTGATTTCTCTTTTCACAGTTAGACCAAGTAGAGGTCCTGGGTACTCAAAGTCCACAAGAAAGTGTAATGTATACTACAATATAGAATGCTTTTATCCTCTGGTTACCTGGAAGTTTGTGGGCCAGCTCCTACTGTTTTTCAATGGATGTAAATGGAAATTAGCTATTCTATTGTGTGCAGGCCACATTGGCCCGCAACATCAAATCTTTTTTCCTCCTTAAAAAAAAAAAAAATTAATAGATTCTCTGTTAGTATATTCTTCTAGTTTTTTATTCAACTTTGTGGAGAGCTCATGTCTGATGGAAAAACTTGTGAAAGGAACCTTTCAAAATGGGATTAAAAGTTGCTTTCTGGGGTTCAGAAATAACCTATTAGTCTGCAGGAACTTAAGGTACATGAAGATATATATTTCATATCTTTTATTCTTAGGCATTTGAATTTGTACATATACCTTTCATCATGTTTTTTCTCATGAGATTCCTTTTGAGTGCTGTTTCCTGTGTGTGGAATACTTCCATATTCTACTACTGTAGCTTGTTTGGCAGAAATTGGTATCATTTTTCAAAGCTATCATTAAAACTCATTTCCATGTTTCTTCTGCACAGGCTGCTTTGATCATGCAAGTTCTTCAACTGACTGCAGACCAGATTGCCATGCTGCCTCCTGAACAAAGGCAGAGTATCCTGATCTTAAAAGAACAAATACAGAAATCCACTGGAGCGCCTTGAAAGGTAAGCAAACTTAGCCTGGCCTGAGTAGGTCACATTCCTTGTGCATTATGGATAAGATTGTTCTCTCTAAGGCCCTGAATCCTCTTAACTAGATTCTCTTTCTTCTTGGGTAGGTCAACCCCTACAAGGATAGGTTAAAGCCATAGGTTATACTTTCAGTTGTTTAGTTCAGTTTCATCTTTTTAAACTTTTCTTTCCAAATGACAAAAGTAAGATATGATGAATTTTTAAAAGTTTATCTAATATAGAAATGTAGCAAGTTAAAAGTAAAAGCCTCAGCATTTTCAATCTCATTCCTCAGACTTTACCTTTAAATATAATTTGGTGTGTATCCTTCCATAATTAATTGTATTGTTTTATTACAAGCTGTTCCATCAAAATGTAGACAATTTCAATAAAATGTATAAATAATTTAGTTTCTAGTATTTGTTTTATATTGGATATTTTGTTGTTACACTATTGCAGCACGTAAGATAGCAAATGTCCAATATCACCATCAGTTTCAATATATTTTAGAGATTGCTGTAGATTTCTACTCATATTTTTCTTGCTCATTGGTCTGGTAAAAAGAATCTAGATAACCTGTCTCATAAATAATCATGTGACCTAACTTGACTAAGTTAGTCTTTGGTATGTCTTTTTAAGATATTTTCCCCCAAATACCTTTGTGTTTCAGGAACAATTCCATTTTCTATAAAGAAGTTATAATTCACATCGTTTCAATAGGGTTAATGCGTCAGACTGCAAAGTCATTTGAATTGCTAGGTCGGTGGTTCAAGCTTACCACCTGCTCCTTGGAAACCCTATACAGGGTTGCTGTGGGTCAGAATCGACTGGACAGCACTTAAAAACAACAGCAATCACCTTTTGAATTTCTACTTATTTCCCACTCACATTCATTCATAGTGCCCATCCATATGTTTTATAATAGTGAACTCATTTATACTAATTAGCAGTCTGAATCAATTGTATTTCGAAATAGTGTTGTAGGAGAGGGGTGACTACATAATGTTTACAGGATTTCTGTTTTGCGTGATGAAAAAGTTTTGGAAACAAATAGTGGATCAGAAAAATTTAAAGGGCAGCTCAAGAAGACAAAGTAAAGTATTATAATGAAGTGTGCAAAGACCTGGACTTAGAAAACCTAAAGGGAAGGACATGCACAACATTTCTCAAGGTGAAAGAAATAAAAAAAATTCAAACCTCAGGTTGCAATATTGAAGGCATCCTTAGATGCTAAGATGGTCAGACTTCATCTCTCATATTTCAGACATGTTATCAGGAGGCACCAATCCCTGGAGAAGGACAACATGCTTGTTAAAGTGGAGGGTAAGTGAAAAAGAGGAACACCCCCTATAAGGTGGATTGACACAGTAGCATCAGCAGTGGGTTCAAATGTAACAATAATTGTGAGGATGGCACAGGATTGGGCAGTATTTTGTTCTGTTGTGCATAGGGTCTCTGAATTTGAACCAACTTGATGGCACCTAACAAGAACATATTGGATGATGAAGGAAACATCAAAAGAAGGTGGAAAATATACACAGAGTCCCTATCAAGAGAATTGGTCAATGTTCAACCATTTCAAGAAGTACCATATGATCTGGAAGCAATGGTGTTGAAGTAAAGAAGTCCAAGCAGCATTGAAGATATTGGTTGCACTGATGTCATTGAAGGAAGGTTGCAGGAATTGATAGAATAGCAATTGAAATGTTTCAACAAAGTAATGCATCACTGGAAACTCTCATTCATCTATAGCAAAAAATTGGGGAGACAGCTACCTGGCCAACCAATTAAGAAGAGTTCCATATTTGTGCCCATTCCAAAGAAAGGTGACCCAGTGGAATGCAGAAATCATTAAACAATATCATTAATATCACAGGTAAGGAAAATTTTGTTGAAGATAATTCAAAAACCATCGCAGTAGTACATCAACAGGAGGCTGTTAGAAACTAAAGCCGAATTAGAAGAGGACGTGGAACAAAGAGATAGTATTGTTGATATCAAATGGATCTTGATAAAAGCAGAAAATACAAGAAAGATATTTACTTCTTCTTTATTGACTACACAAAGGCATTCAACGGTGGATCATAGTAAGCTATGGATAACATTGAGAAGAATGGATATTCTAGAACACTTAACTATGGTCATAAGGAGTCTGTATGTAGACCAAGAGATAATTGTTAGAACTGAACAAGAGAATACTGAGTGGTTTAAAATCAGGAAACGTGTGTGTCACGGTTGCATCCTTTCACCATACTTATTCAACCTGTATACTGAACAAATAATCTGAGAAGTTGGATTATATGTGGCATCAGGATTGGAGAAAGAGTTATTAACAACCTGTGATATGCAGATGATACAACCTTGCTTGCTAGAAGCAAAGTGGCCTTGAAATACTGATGAAGGTCAAAGACCACAGCCTTTAATATGGGTGCACCTCAATGTAAAGACAAAAGTCTTCACCGTTCAGCCAATAAATAACATCATGATAAATGGAGAAAAGATTGAAGTTGTCAAGGACTTAATTTTTCTTGGATCAAATACATATTCATGGAAGCAGCAGTCAAGAAGTCAAACAATGTATTGCATTAGGCAAATCTACTGCACAAGACCAGTTAAAAGTGTTCAAGAACAAAGGTATCAGTTTGAGGACTAAGGTGTGCCTGACCCAAGCCATGATTTTCAGTAGCTTCATATGCATGTGAAAGTTGGGCAGTGAATAAGCATGACTGTAGGAAAATTGATGCATTTCAGTTATGTTGTTAGAGAAGAATATTAAAAGTATCATGAACTGCTAGAGTGAACAGAGAGCCAGAATGTTTCTTAGAAGCCAGGATGGCAAGACTTCATCTCTCATACTTTGGATATATTATCAGGAGGAACCAGTTCCTGGAGAAGGACAGACATCATGCTTGGTAAAGTGGAGGGTCATTGAAAAGGAGGAAGACCCCCAATGAGATGGATTGACACAGTGGCAGCAATTATGGGATCAAGCTTAACAATGATGTTAGGATGGTGCAGGATCAGACGGTGTTTCATTCTGTTGTGCATAAGTTTAAGATTTGTCAGAACTGAAACAACAACATAACTAGTACAATAAATAGCATCATGGTAAATGGAGAAAAAATTAGAAGTTGTCCATAATTTAATTTTACTTGGATCCATAATTAACACTCATGAAAACAGTAGTAAAACATACAAATGACATTAGGCAAAATTACTGCCAAAGACCTCATTAAAATATTAAAGAGCAAGAACTCACTTTGAGGACTAAGGTGTGCCTGACTCATGCTGTGGTATTTTTAGTCTCCTCATGCATGCAAAAACTAGACAAGTAGGGAAGAACGGAAAATAACTGATACATTTGAATTAAGGTGTTGGAGAAGAATATGGAAAGTACCATGGACTGCCAGAAGAACGAACAAATCTGTTCTAAAGAAATAAGACTGAATTGTTCCTTAGAGGCAACAATGGTGATACTTTGTCTCTCATACTTCAGGCATGTTATCAGGAGGGAGCAATCCCTGGAGAAGGACATCATGCTTGGTAAAGTGGAGGGTCAACAACACAAAAGGAAGAGCATCAATGAAATAGGTTGAAACAATTGCAGCAACAATGGGCTCAAACAAAAATTGTGAAGGTGACACTGGATCAAGCAGTGTTTTGTTCTGTTTGTACATAGAGATGTTATGAGTTGGAACTGACTAAGTAGCACTTTACAGCAACAACAAATTGTAAATATGTGTATCTAAATATAGACATGGAATGACTAAATTATAATGGAAAGCTGGCATAGATGTATTTTGGTATAACCACTGCTTTAATATGTTTCATTCCAGATAATCACAGGTGTTCTATTTTCTTCACTAAAAGCATAAATTAGGTATTATATTCAGAGGAATAGATAAGCTATTCCTCTCTTTTACTTTTTCTAGTTTATTTATGCCAGAGAGGGCAACCCAACAATGTGAGAAAAATATCGTTTCTGGATAGTGGAAGTAGAATATTTCTGAAGGCTCTTGCTTATAAAATATCTCATTTTGTAAGATATTTAAAATTAACCACAGGGCAAGTTTTGTTTTGTTTTTATTTTGAAATAATTATAGATTTATGGAAATTTGCAGAAGTAGCATAGAGTCTTATGTACCCTTCCCTCAGCTTCCCCCACAGGTGACATCTTAATTATTAAGTGCCATTGAGTTAGTTCCGATTCACAGCAGTCCTATATAGAGTTTCCAAGGAGCAGCTGGTTGGTTTGAACTCCTGGCCTTGCAGTTAGCAGCACAGTGCTTATCCTACATGCCGTACAAGGACTCCATGGAATCTTGAATAATTGTATACAACATCAAAATCAGGAAATCGGTGTTTGTACATCATTGTTAACTGGACTATGGACCTTTTTCAGTTTTCACTATTTTTGTGTAGATCGTTGCAGTTTTATATGGGCAAGGTTTTGATGTGTATTGTACTTTTGCATATTGTGGTCAAATGTTGACTCTACCCAACCATTTGTGGTTTATTTCTGCCATCACTGACAGGCTTATATATCATTTCATTGGTTCTCCACCAGAGGCAATCCCCCCCTCAACACAGATCACTGGTGTGGCACTGTAGGGTAAGCACTGGATTGCTAACCATAAAGTTGTCAGTTCAAGCCCACCTCTGAAACCTTAGACAGAGTTGCTCTGAGTAGGAACCAACTCGACAGCACTTAACAACAACAAAGACCATTTTGGTTGTCACAGCTAGAGGGTGGGGTATGTTATTGGGATTCAGTGGATAGGGACATACTGGTAAACATCTTGTTATGCACAGGGCATCCCCACACAACAAAGAGTTATCTAGCCCAAAGTGTCAGTGGTACTGAGGTTGAGAAACCCTGCTTTAGGGAATAATTGCTTTTGGAAGGCAGGAGGCAGACACCTTCAAAATCTGTCCCTGGTGATTTGCAGTGATTTGCACATCCTCCCTACCCAGTCTTTTAATTTATTTTT